TGGCCCCGAGTTTACCCCATGAGTCCAGTTCACACACAGGCGTACAGGCACACAGACACAGAAACACAAACCTTCGTGGCTTCCGTTTCAAACCTCCCGAAAGGAAAGCCAAAGTCATGGGCTTGCCCCCCACCCGGCTCTGAGCGCAAGACGTTCGCCGGCACATCAAGGACCTGGAGCCTCAAAGGCGATCGATGCCCGATGGCCGGCCTTTGAAACAAGGGATGTGCCTGCAGGGCCTGCGGGCTTGGGACCCCCAAAATGGGTCAAAAAGATGGACCAAAATGGCACCCTGGTAAATGGAACCAAAGAGCAAAACCTGCGTAACCCTGGTAAGTGGAACAGGGATCCTTACAGTAGAAACACCTGAACATTGCAACTTGTTACAAGGTGGTGTCCCTCTATTTTGGTGGAAAAAGCCATGTTTCAAATGGTTGCAAAATGTATCTTTTAAGGAGCCCTGCCCCAATGGACTGCTTTCTTTTTGGAATCCCTTTTCTTTAAACCCCCAGAATGGTACCCTCAAAGAAGCACAGCCCCCATGGCCCCCCCAAGTAAACTTCCACAACCACAGCCTAAGCCCTAAGCCCTTAGTAAGCCCTAAGCCTTAATTAGGCACCAGGTTCTATTGCTGGGATTGGGGCGGGGGATGGGGGGGGGGTCATTTTTTGGGGGCCCTTGACAACATTTCGGGTCATTGGAAATATACAGTTCCCCTTCCATACATTATATGCTTCTTACCCAGTGGCTCCCTCAAACAGCTCAAAATCATCGGATGCATTGGGGCCTTTTTTTGGGGAAGGTGCCCATGCGGGAAGCGCATGCAACTGATAGAAACAAATCGCCCATGAGCAGATGCTCCGTTTATCCACATGGCCACTCCTTGCAACTGTTCAAGCCAGCTGCGCTGAGTAGCCAATGCAACTCGCATGAATGCCTGTGAACTCAACTGGGTGCTTTCAAAGCATTGAACCTGAGCCTGAATCAACACCAACACGGAGGTAGACCTTGCTGGCGGCGCTTTGAGAGAATATTGGCAAATCCAGCCATAGACAGGGATGCCTACCTTTGGGAAAAAACCTTTTGACATGGCTCGAGATTCGGACACCAACAATTGAAAAGGTCCGCTTTTTGACATGTGTGCGAATGTTCTCAGGCCTGCATTGTGCGCGAGCCACAAGTCGAGTATAGTATGATTCATACTTCATGTCCTTACTCGCGTCAAGAGCAGCAGTCTCATCAACACAGCTCCTTGTGACCACCCAGACTCAGCTTGGCCTAAGCACAACGCCTAGTTACTCGTTGCACCAACGCCCCTCACTCCATCACTCTCCAGATCTCAGGCTCCCCTGCTCCCCAGGTGCTTGGGCATCGACGGCCTGAGGCCGAAAAAAACACACGACCTGAACCCACATGGTCCTTTGCACAAGGCCGCTCCTAAAACTCTACGTGACAAGTACTAGCAGATATTTGCTGAGTAGGGAATGACCCATGGTGTTGGGAATAAACCTAGGAATTCCCTGAAAGCAGGCCATAGGGGATTGTGTAGGGGGCATTCCCTCATTCCCTGCTGAATATACCAACATCTTGTAAGAAGCCCCCCAGTTACCCAGCCTTCAAGGGGAAAGTGAAACCAATGAATTCCAGGGATCCCCAATTGCGCAAAATGGACACCATACTTACATGGAACCATAGATGAAGCTAACACATGGAACTCCAATCATCAACCTCCATTTGCCCTTTGTTTTTTTCATATTTGCCATGGTCAAACCTCCATTTCTTTGGCCTATGGTCCTGGTTCCCGCAACAGGAATCATTATAATGGTTCTTAAGAATCCGTACCTCACTTCCTGAGTTGAACAAAACACTTGTGCTGCTATCATGGTCCAAACCCAAAAAGTTTAAAAGTTTTAAAGCCCAGGAACTCGCATCCCTAACCCCAGGCAAACTTGACGAACCGGTCGAAATGATCACCGATCCAGGCGCCGGCTTCTGCCTATCCGCGCTGCGGCCGCGGCGGGCTTGGCCTCGTGAGAGGGGAAGTTGACTGGGGATACCCGGGACCCTGGTTCAGGGCTGTGGGGAACCACTTCTGTGATACAACGGAAAGGGCTTTCCGAAGACTATTGTGTTCATAGAAAGGGGGATTCCCTTGTATCACAGAAGTGGGGAGAAACCCCTTGATCCCACAACCCTGATGTGGTTTGTCCGTGTGCTTTCCAGTCGAAACCGCACACAAGGGGTACCCTCAAAGCACAAACCCATTTGGCCAAAGGCCCTGGGACGACCATGTTCCTCTTCAATGGGGCCTCGTGGGGTTCAGTGGTTGGGAAGGAAGTAACTGGGTTGTCACTGTATAACCCACTTGCGCGAGATATCACGATCTACGCCCTCCCTTTTTTGCAGACCAGGCTGAATTACACAGGCTTTCTCAAGTGGTTCCCACAAAGAAATCTGACCACGTGGCAATGCAGGCTCCAAGAGACACTAAGACGCAGCCGCGCTTTTTCTCTAAGCCGCTGCTTGCAAGCGCCCTACACCACTCCTTGTGCAGGTCTCGGTGCTCTAGACGCGTGTGCAAAGAACGACCCAGCTTAGAGGGCTTCAGCGCCGGTGCCTCTCACCCGATACAAAAAGATACGATATTTTTTGGGGAGGGGTTCTTAGAAGGGCTCAGAAACCCCTCGAGTGAGACAAGCGCTTTGGATTGCTGCGTCATTCCAGGTTTCTGCGGCCGCATGAATGACAGCGTGAATTCTGCTGGATTCAGCCTAGGAGAAGTGCAAGGTCTATTCACGGCAGTTGCCATTTCGGCCATGTTGGGTACGTGCACAAATATGTGTGTTTACCGTTCTGCTCTCTTTGAAGCAACCTTAAAAAACACTCTCAAACAACACGCACCCTTTTCGTGGGGGCGCGGGGGGCGACGGAGCTTCGGAGCATCGGGGGCACGCGGCTCAGTGTCTTTGTCTTAGATTCAGATGAAGCGGTAGCCAAAAGCCCAAACATGTACCTCATGTGGCCCCACAAACGTGCGCAAGGTACACCTTGGAGGGAAAATCCAGTCAATGCTCAGGCAAATGCTGCAAAGTGGAAAAATGTGGAAAGCAACAGATTTCGGCGCCCAATTACCATACAATTCACCAATTTGAACTCAGTCTCCCCAAACTCATGGGGCCCCATCTCGTTTGACCCCAGAAAATGCTGACCCTGGATTAGTCATGGATGTGTCAATCTGGGATGCTCCACCCCAAAAAGTGAGACGTGGTGCCTTGAGGAGGTTGCCAAAGCTTGCCAAATACAAGCTTTCAACAATGGGACATGCGCAAATTGCTTGTTTTCCTTTTGGCTTCCGAAAAAATACCGTCCGGCAACGCTTCCCAATCAAGATTGCTCCCTGGAGAAACCCTGGCACAAGAACGAACGTCTGGGAAAACACCAGGAATCCCTGCGACGTCTCTGGAGGTTCGAATTGTGAAGGCGAACCTCCCTGCCAACCAATTCAAATGACCTCCGCGAGAGGAGAAGTTCAAAGGCGCTCAGGCAGGCCATAGGCGCCTGGGCGTTTTGCATGCACCAGTCAAGCTTCTTGCGGATTTTTGGTTGGCATTCAAGCTACTGAGTAAGCAGGTTATAGCCTTGCCCCAGCAGCTTATAACCGACTTACTGAGGTGGTTGAACATCCAAGTGGGGTTTCCTTCTGAAAGGATGGGGATCAACCCTCGGGGCTGACCACTTTGAAGTTGCAAGGGCTTCGAATTTGAAGCAAAAACCAAATGGCTGGAGGCCACCGCCGGGTGTTCATTGGCCTCGCCCGAAAACGGGCGAGCCTGGGGTCAAAAGAGGAGTCGAGGGTCCCAGAAGCTCTCTCAATGTCCCGAGTCTGTGGTCGCTTACTGATCTCCTGTGCCTCCCTTGTGACGAAAGCAGCCAACATGCTGGGATGATTCCGTCATGTTCTGGAGCCTTGCCAAGCCTTTGAGTTGCATATTTGGTAGCTGCATGGCATTGCTTGCTGCAAGGGGCCAGCAAAGAAGAGCTCACAAGCAGTCAGCAATCGACCTATCAATGGCAGCCTTGTGCGCAATAAGAACAGGCTCTGGCGTAGCACTACTTCTGGGCTCGTTTAAGTGGACATTGATTCTGTTGAAGAGTTCTCATGCTGACTGTGGATCTCACTATCATTCATGATGCAAACGGTATGCTAGCAATGTGTGTCACTTCGACGGAGCGAGTAGTTTAACAAGCGCATGGTCCAAAGTGGACCATGCAAGATTTCTTCACAGTGGAAGTGATATCTGCCCGCCAGTTGGAGGGGTCCCTGATGGTTGCTAGAAGTTCGTACGGAAGCCTTAAGGGGGCTCAACAACATCTGTTGTGTTCTTTTCTTCTCTTTGCTTTTTTAGGGGGGTCTACGTTTTGAGTCAGGCAAACCTGTTTTGCGCAAGCCAAGCGCAGCTCCTTTATTCGCACGCGTGCCTGCAAGCCTTGCCAACCGATCGCTGTCGGCAAAAAGTGCGTAAGATTCCCAGATGCAACAACCACGTGAACCACAAGAGAAGAGGTGGGTTGACCATCTTTTGTCGGGAACCGGTGGAAAGGAGAGCGATGTGTTATTGGGGTTGACCAGCTTTGTCAGGGAATGAATCAGTTGCATCAGATTTCACAAGCAATACTTATTCCTTTTGGTGTCTCATCAAAGCCATCAAAAAATTGGGTGCCCCAAAAAATCCCAAGGGTGGAAAAAGCCACCGCATGCATCTAGGAATCCTTTGGATCCATGTTTCTCAGCTCTGAGCCGTACGCCGGTGGCCGTTTCTGGCCTTAGCAGGAGCTGCTGCCTGCTCTGCGTATGTTTATCCACATTCCCGTTGTTCTCTTCAAAAGCTGGGGCAAAAAGTGTATGATAAGTATGCTTCGCCGTCTTCTAACAGTCTTTTGTGTGTGTGTGTGTGTGTTTAATCAAATGGCTGAAGGTGCGTGAGGAAAACGCTTTCCATTTATGGTCCTTTGACCTCTTGGCTAGCCATCGCACAAGAGTTGGGCGCTGGGCAAATTTGCTCCGCGCGCATTTGCTCACTCCCGTTGCAGGCCCCTTTGTCGCTCCGGCGCATGGGCTTGTGACGGGCGTTTCGTCGTCGACCACTCGGCAGGGCATCTTGCTTTCTCATCAAGATCTGACCTTCGCAAAGATCAGGTTACTAAACACTGACTATCTTCAAAACGGTACCCTCCCCACTCTCTCTCCTTGTGACCCAAGCCACGCCAAGAAAGGCTGTCATGACGCTTTTTCTAATGTCGGGAACCAGCAACCACTTGGTGGAGAAACATGGTTGCAGGGTATAGCCTTCTGCGACACCAGGGTGGGGTGCCCGTCCCTGCGAGTACATGAGGATTTCCCCAAACAGAAAGAACGCGGCAAAGCAAACCATCACTCCCAACCTTGCCAATCACATCGAGCGGCGGCCAGTTTCCGTCAGGTGATAAAGCCCATCCGCGTCGCGCGAGAGGATCGGGTGCACATCCTTGTGCTTGCCGCGATTCCGCTGCAGTCGCTGCAAGACCTCCTTTAGATCGGGCACCTCAGGGCACCCCAAAGCCCACCCCATAAACAGAACCCGGTATGAATAGGATGCATAGTCCAAAAACAGGAATTCAAGGGCTGCCGCCTGTATATACTCTGCCAACTTCTAATCATCAAGCTTTTGGCAGCTGAACTGAAACAGGCCCTTTGAGGACCAGTGACAACGTGTGCCAAAACTCGAGCACCAAGTGCACAGCGCTCCTCCCGGCGCATCCTTTTGGAACGCAGGGCGGGCAGGAAGACTTCAACCCGTCTGAACCCGTCGGCGCCTTTTCTGCGAGCTTGCCGGACAGCTCCTTGAAGGACATAGGGCAGTGCTCCAGCGCATGCAGCACCCGGAAGTACTTCTTCTGCGTTGGCATGCGCAGGTAGGAGGACGAAAAGCGATCCACACCACAGCTGCCACAAACGGTACCTCGGCAAACAGTCCGCCCACCTGCCTGTTGAACCCAACCGAAGCGACTTGGTTACTTTCCTAAACTGGTCCAAGATCAATTATTTCGAATATTTCGCAATGTTGCACCCAGCTCATCCGAAAATGCGATGAGCCAATGGTTGTGACAACCTCATTGCTGCGCGAGGCGCCAGGGGCTTCCTTGCAATCGTATGCCATCCTCTCCCCGGTTTGAGGGTCCGTTTCTCATGCCAATTTCAAAAAAACACGCACGCAAAAAGGTGGGGTGCTCAAGTCAAGCTCCAATCAAAAGAGGGCCCGCAGCTCCTTAACAGGTGATGGTTTGCTCCAGGCCCAAAGGAACCGCATGAAACTTAGAAAGTAAAAACCACGTGATCCCCCATGGGATTCTGCAACAGCCCGTGGTTCACGATGTGTTCACGGAGTTTTCCCGGTGACCACAGGCCCAGGGGCTGAGTGGGGCGTTCTGGTGGTGGCAGCAATGGCAATTCCAGGCGCCAAGATCCGGGTCCGCCCGAGCAGACTCTTGCAAGGACCAGAAGAGGAATCGCTCCTGCCCACTGCCCAGTCTCATGCTGAGCCCCTGGCAAAACTCAAAGCTGCCCAGTTTGGACCTGGAAACAAAAGCATGAGAGGTGATCACCATTTTGGGGCCAAAACTGAGCATGCCCAAAAACAACACCCAAAGCTCAAAACATATAAGTCTGGTGTTCCAAGCTTTAGGAAGCTTTAGGAAGCTTTAGGAAGCTTTAGGACGGATCAAACAAGTCCAAGCGCTCGGTTTGCCATTAAGCTCGGGGAGTGAGCATGTGCATAGCTCCAAGAGCTGCCCCGCTGGGGGGTTTCCTTTGAAAGTACGGGATGCGGCAACTTTTAGGGTTTCTTCTAATGTCTCTGACGAATCGGTGAGGTTTGGTGTCCACAATGCCATGGAGAAAATGTACTGAACTGGTGGAACTTATGGATTGACCAACCCCGTTGGGTCTCACGCCTCCTGTGCCAAGGAAACTATCAGTTCAACCATATGTTGAAGAAGTCTTGGACTTGTGTCACCTCTTTGGGCAACATTGGCATACCCCCAAGAGGAACCGTTGGAATTTATTTGGGGCAACACCTGCTCCACACATTAAGGTGTTCAAAAGAGCAACACTGATCCAAGGTTGCTGCTTGTACGATACAAGCACCGGAAAGTGCATGATCCTGGCTGCATGTTCCAGAAAGGATCAACACATGACATGTGATTTCAGATTTGTTGGGTTGCTTGTTTGGCCACGTCCCGAGATGCAACACCAAAAAAACTACTGAGGGGAGCAACCTTGCTACCACGAATAGGTTGTGCTCGAATAGGAGGAAAAGTTCCAACACGAGTGACATGCGGCGACGTTCTTCCAAGTATTCGGGGTAAGCAACCCTTCAACCTCCATATCAGTTCGTGAAGGGACTTCTCTCCTGAGCGTCAACATATGCGGTTGCTTTGAACAGCGTGGAATGAGTAAGATTCCGTGAGTGTCTGGGGGACATTTGGCGACTCCCTCCCGACACCATAGATTGCTCACATGGGCTGGAAAAAGTGGGCGGTTCCACCTAGTTTGGGGCCGTGCGGAAGCCCGGCCGCAAACCTTTACCGCCAAAATCGAGGATAGAGGGTATAGCCCTGTTTCTGCTGTCCTGAGCCACTTCGAGCGACAGGTCCTGGCCGTGAGACGCTTTCTCTCAGTTGCCCAAAGGACCTGGAAACAAAAGGTTAACCTTTCGGGGCCATGACCAAAAATGGACCAAAACGGGAAAACCAAAAGGTCAAAAGGTCGGCTTTGGGCAACTAAGTCTTAGAGTGTTGCTTGTGTTGACCCAGTTCACCACGGTTCCTGTTACCTTTTGTGCTTCCTCGATGTGGCAAACTACGGCAAAGGCCTCGCTCTCAGAAGGTTCTGCCTGAAACACGATTATTTTTTACAGTATGGCTTGCTTTTCTCAGGGTATGTGGGTAATGTTGGAGAGTGATTAATAAAGGCCCCCCCCCCTCAAACGAATTGGGGGGGTCAATAGCGAGAACCCCAAAAACAAAATGGGGGTCAGATTGGGACCTTCCTGAGTAGTTTGCCAGTAAGTATTGTTTAGAATTGGTTTAGTATTGGTTTAGTATTCCTTTGAGCTGGCTCACTACGGTTTAGAATTGGTTTAGTATTAGTTCAGTATTCTTTTCAGTTGATTCACTACAGCTTAGAATTGGTTTAGTCTTGGTTCTTCTTCTTGGCAGGCTGGCCTGGCCTTTTTTTCTCACAATTCCCTACCCTTAAACAAACTGCATTATTGCCTTCCGGGGGGTTCCGTGTGCCACCCCCTTGAAAATTTGTCAGGGTGCATCTTCTAGTAAAGGGATTGATAAGGAATTTGGTGGTTTGGGACAGGAAGCAATCCAGAGATTCTGGACATTTCTGGCTTTATCTGAGAACAGCAGGGCTTTCTTCTTGGCAGGCTGCCCTGGCCATTTTTTTCTTCACAATCTTACACAAACTGCATTATTGCCTTCCTGGGGGTTCCGTGTGCCACCCAATTAAAAATTTGTCAGGGTGCATCTTCTAGTAAAGGGATTGATAAGGAATTTGAGAAATTCTGGACATTTCTGGCTGGACTCAAACGTTTCAACCCTCGAAAATAGTCCATTCTTGGAAGGGGACATATTTTCGGGATTTCAGGCAGATTTTTTTCTGTAATACCTACCCTTTTTGCTTTTCAGGAGAGTGAATATTTTTGAGATTTGTTTTGTATTCACTCCCGTTTTATTAATCGCTATCTAACATTAACGAACATGATTTTAGACAGTGCTGCTAGCCTTTGATGTTTCGTAATGGCAAGCTGTTGGCGTGGGTTGCGTGGCCTTTCTCGCCAAATGGGGAAACAACACGTTGATTTGGTCATGAGCCGGAATGTCAACCCAGGATCAACAACCATCTGGCTCAATAGGGAACGTCCCATTTAAGGAGGGCTGCTTCACTTTGCGGGAAACACCCTTATCTTGATGCACCATCCAATCATCTGGGGCCGACATTGAGACTTGCGTGGGCAAAGTGAACTTGCACATAAACTGATAGTGTGTATAGATATGTATACATATATATATATATATATATACATGTATATGTAAGAATGTAACCAATGTACCTATGAACTTCGAACTGCTCATGTTGCATGCTGAAATTGACATGGATGTGCGCAACAAATGGGTGTCGGCTGAAAGCAGGAGGCTGAGCGGATTGGGTGAGCTCTGCATGCTGCATACTCTCATGAGCTGCGATGAGGCACATGGAGGCGAAACTGGGGGGGGGGGATTGAATGAAGCATCCTGGTCAAACCATGGTGTGTTTGTGTCTTTTCTTCCAGGCGGATCGGACTCAAGTGATCCGGGCTTTTGCACCATCCAGCGAAAAGCATGAACTCCAACTCTCAAAACAAATTTTGAGGATCAAACCGCAAATTTTGCTTCAACACTCCCGCACAGCAAGGTAGGACATGAGCACCTGCGGGGCTCAAGCTCACCTTTTCCCCCAGGTTCCGCCATTGGTGCAGCAAGGTCAGGCCAACCCTGGAAAAGCATGTTTAAACACCCATTAAATCCGTGGAACCCCTTTTGGCCTCCTTTTTCGGCCGAACAGGTCTGGCTGTTTTTTCGACAAACTTTACGGCCCCTTCCCCAAGAATCGCCAGCGATGGCCTGGTAGGTCACCACATAGAAGCTGGGGCTTTGCTCCTGGATCTTGAGGAGCCACTCGTTGCAGGCGCCGCAGGGGGGCAAAGGATTCAACAAGTCGTGCACCACCTCGCTGGTCCAAGTGTTCAGCAAAGGAACCTCGACGGGACAGAAAGAAGAGGGAGGGCACCTTTCTGACTGGATAATCTGGGTTATGGGGCAGACTTGAAGAAAGGGCTCCTTCCATCTCACAACTGGATAGGAACCTCGCTATTGCGGGACGGGTCCGCGTGAGACAAGGCTCCATTCTTCTGACAACTGCGTGGGAACCTCATCATGGCAGGACGGGTACATGTGAGAGGGCCCCTTTCTTCTGAGAACTGGATGGGAACCTCCATGAACAACAAAGGCTCCGCTCTTCTCACAACTGGATGGGAACCTCGTTCAGAAAGGTATGAAGGCCAGAAACTCAGGGTATGAGTCTCCGACTGCGCGCGTTTGCCCTGCCCTCCCTACCTGGCGGCAACATACAATGGAACCCTGAGATGCATCAAGCCAAGCATAGTAGGCAACTTGGCGCAAAGTAACCTTTGATTTCAAGATCTACGTCTGCGCATGTCTCCCTCTCGCTCTCTCTCTATCTCTCTCTCTCTCTCTGACAAAGATCGGTTTGCGAGGGCCGGTCATTGTGGGCAATAATTTCTTTCCGTGATTGCTAAATGGGCCATCCCTGTGACTTCTCTGGCATTTGACGGGTGGCTCACTTGAAATCACAGCAACTGGCCCTAAGCCCAGTTTTCCGCCACCATGCCCGGGAGGTGGACGTTGATCGCAGCACATATAGATCTGGCTTTACTTCGTTTACACTGCTATGTTACTTATCAATTTTGCATGGAAACAATACTACCTCCGTGCTTGATTGTGACAGGCAAGAAATGCTCGAAGCCAGCCGCAAACTGGAACAACTGCCGATAGAATTGAGAATTATAATGAATCATGAAGCAAAGATCCGCCGGGTTCGACGCAACAACTCGGCGCCGATGCAAGGGTAGCATCGGCTACCAGCCTCCAAAACCGCAATGCCCTTCATCTGCTTGCGGTTGATGTTGGGAAACGTCGTGCGGGCGTTGACAATGGCAGCGCGCTCTGCGCAAATAGACCCGGTGGGCAAAGAGACCTCGCTGTTGATGCCACGAACGAACTCCGCCTTGCCTCACAGATCTGGAAATGCTGTATAGTGTTGCGGAGAACGCAACGCAACGCATTTAATCGGTGCATGATAACATGAGCATGGCTCCCCCCAAGCATGAGGTAAGTCATCTTACTCCACCACGATCCCAACTACAGTACCCTCCCAACAAGTAACATGGAACCTGACAGGGGGTCTTTTTAAAAGGAACATGGTCTTCCAGGATTCCCTGTCAGGTTCCATGTTAATTGGTGGGAAGGTACTGAGGCCCTCTTAGCAAAGCAAAATTGAAGTCAAATCAACAAGTCGCGAAACGGAAAGAAAGCCAAGTCTATCTCTCGGCAAGTTGCCCCTGTGCTCCACGTGTAGAAGAGAAAGCACTACACGCCCGGATTTCCGGTGGAAGAAGGGCTCTGTACCGTTGGCCTTGTACCAATTCAAGTACGCCCTCCTCAGACCAAGTGGGACGAACAATTGTCCAAAAGAGCAAACAAAGGCCAAAAAGGCCCACCAGCCCAAATGGACCAAAAAGAGCAAAACATGTCAAAAGGGATACGTCAAGCCGGTCAGTTGCAACAAGCGACACCGAATTTGACCATGCTCAGCGGGGGCTTCTTTTTGCGACAAGCCAAAGGGGCTTTTATATCAATTCCAAAACCTGAAATGAGGGATCGAGGGACCCACACCATAGCTCGATTTATTGCGAGCTTGCCAAGCTTCATCTGTTGGGTGAGGATGCGGACGTCGTCCGTCTCCGGCAACTGTGACATGCTGCGCACTCGCGTGTAGGACTTCTGAATGAGCCAGGTCTCACTCCCCAGAGTGGCCTTCAAGCCATTGGTCGACCTTTTGGAAAAATGAAAATGGATGGCCCTAGCGAGTTGGGCAGAAAAAGTCGTGACCAGAACAAACCTAAGTCTTGCCCACACCAACCCAAAAGGACATGCTTCGAGCTCGCTTCGCTTGGTCGTTCTTTCACACCCAGGTTTGAGTTCGCGGCTTGCAGAGATCAACTCTTGGCTTCAAGAGTGGCAGAGCCAAACCACCAGTGAGTGGGGGGCGGCATTGAGTTGAGCAGTTACCTGAGCCATGGCAACCAAATTCCCGAATCGCCTAGCCTACTGGGGGAGAGTAGGACCCGTCTGAACATTTCAGCCCTGCGCAAAGCACAGGGACGTGTGCAACAATCTCCGTGTCTCCTCCACCAAGCGGCAAAGGACACTCAGCTAAAGACTTATCAAGGGCCTTCAGTTCTTATTCTTAATATGGCTGTGGGTCAAAAATAGGTGCCCAAAATGGAACCCTGGTAAGCCATATGATTCCTGCCTGCGCCTTCCGCTCCTTCCCTCTTGGCAGTTTCCCCGCATCGCGCTTCTGGCGCGCCAGCGAACTTGCCCCACGCCAGGGGCGTCCCAGACCCAAACTGCTAGGGCGCAAGAAGCAGTGCATGTCACATCTTGGGCCAAAAGGCGAAGCCGGAAATTGGCGCCCTACAATCCCACGACACCTTGAGAGACCTCTTTCGGATGGTGCTGTAAGAAACCCCGAGTGGGAAACCAAATTTGCAGGCTGTGAGTGGCTGAATTGGAAGTACTCGAAAGTGGCCAAGTCTGCGTATGTCAGATCATTCTGGTGACCAACCCCTCTTTGGGTCCCCTGAATCATCGTAACTGGGCATGAATCCTGTCCAGCCTATGTGCACAAGCCTTGAGTCCAGATATGCCACCCTGCCAGACTCCCCAAGTCAGCCCACATACATAGCCCCAACTGAAAAGCTTCCTCCCCATTGAACTTCCCCCCTCTTGCAGAGTGCGAAGTCCATACTGTAATGCTTCCTGTTGCCATGCCCAAGTAGATTCCTCACTTTGCTCACATAGAAGCAATCTAACAAACCGGTAGCAGCATGGACTGGTGCTATGGCCAGTGCCAAGTTTCCTGCACATGCACTGCTGGAGTTGCCTGCTACGTCAGTCAGCTCAATTACACTGAAGCCTTGTTCAATCCTCCAAGGACGGTGTTCCTTAAAGGTTCCTTACATGATACATCCAAAACCCACACGCTTTGCAAGGCGTTCCTCTGAGTCAATAGGGGACCCCCCAAAATGGTTTTGCTTCGGTTTCCCTTTGGACCAACAAATTCCTAGCCTAAACAAACAAACACACACACACACACACACACACACAGACACAGACACAGACACACACACAAACACACACACACACACACAAACACACACACACAAACACACAAAAACACACACAAACACACACACACACACACCCACCCACCCACCCACCCACCCACCCACCCACCCACCCACCCACCCACCCACCCACCCACCCACCCACCCACCCACCCACCCACCCACCCACCCACCCACCCACCCACCCACCCACCCACCCACCCACCCACCCACCCACCCACCCCGCACCGCACGCACGCGCGCACGCACGCGCACCCGCGCGCGCGCAGCACCGCCACGCCGCCCCCCGCACGCACGCACGCACGCACTCACGCCACGCACGCACGCACGCACGCACACACCCACGCAAACACACCCACACACACACACACACACCACACACACACACACACACACACACCACACACACACACACACACACACACCACACACACACACACCACACACACACACACACACCAGACACACACACACACACACACACACGCACACCCACACACACCCACACACACACACACCACACACACACACACCACACACACACACACCACACACACACACCACACACACACACACACACACGCACACTCAAAAGAAACATATTTTAAATCAGCTGGTAATCACATGGGCGTCTGAAAATATGGGAACCCACAAATGGCATGGATATCTTCCTATATTTCCCCTTTAAAACATCACTCCCACCAAGGGGCACTCAGTTTTCATGGGCCAAAAAAGGTGATGTTTAAAACCGCCTAAGAAATAGTTGGGCTGTTGTGCTTCTGTTGGGCTGGGCTGATGGGCTGTTGGACCCCTGCTCCTTTGGGTCATTGGCAAGAGGGGGTGTCACGGACTCCTGGCGCTGGATCTAAGAGACGTGCCTTGCAAAGCAAAAGCTACGCATAGCGAAACCGCCAGGCTGAGGGCGGCGGCTGAGAGGGAAGCTTGAGCCAAACTAGAAATTCGATAGCCCTCAAGCAGCAGACCGGGAGAGGTAATTGCATCTTGTCAAAATAGCTGGGATCCCAAAAAAGATGGGACTTTCCTTCAGCCCGGCGAACTCACCAAACGTGTTTCCTCAAGACGAAGCACCCAACAGCCAGCTACTGGCCTCCCACAAAGCTCAGCACGTGGGAACAAACTGTATGTGGAAACATCTCCAGGTCCAGCAGTTCAGCTCACCTCCATTCTGACACTGCAAACTTTTATCCTTCCAAGGAATGAGGACACTCGACAGTGGAAATCTCGGCTGTTAAACCTGCGGATCCCTCCAAGCCTTTTTCTCTCTGCCAGACTTTCAAAGCTTCACTGAGTCTATCTCACGTTCTAAAAGGACCTCACGTGCTAAGTAAGCTGTTGGCCGTTTAAGGCCCGTGCGTCGATACGCCTCAATCGCCTCATGCGCACCTTCCGCACTACACGTGCATTCAAACTAGTCCTGCCCATCGTCGCGCCAAAGCCAGCTGCAGCGTTGAGGGAGGCTTGGCTCACTTCATGTACCTACAGCTGCCGTCAGGAATCTCAATGATAATAAAATTCAACACGGCATAGGCAGTGCCGCTCACCTGGCTAGCTGTCACACCTGTCTGCGAATTTAGCCCAGCGCCGAGCAAAGAACTCTCAAACCCCCCCCATCAACACGAGGTTCACCTAAAGTCAGCCTTCGAAACTGGCTCGCATGAACTAAAAGGAAACGAGCACATGTGGCCCATGCCAACCGGTGATCGGAACCCCAGTGGGGCGCACAACGACCCAAAGCACAAGCACGTCTACCCCAAACGATGTCCCCAGCAGTGCACTTGACCTAAAGGACATAGAGATGACAGCTCCAACTTGGAGAGCCACAAATCTGGCATGTTGCTTGCTATATTGCCACGTGTGGAATGGGATGCTGCATTGGCAATCGCATTAAATGATATTCAATATGTTGTCGACTCTATTCAAGCCGTTCAAGCATGCATTTATCTATGGTGTGGTGCGCTACTGTACTTTAGCTTTTCCCTTCACGCTATCACTCTATTTCAATCATGAACTGTTGAAACTAAACGGTCCTCTGTTTCTACTATTGAGAATGATAGCGCCCATCGGACTTGTCGCATTCTTCAACCTGACTACATCATCTTGTACCTTTGACTGGGTTGAATCCGTCCACAGTTGCGCAGGGTTAGAATCCACTTAGGCTGACTATCACCTGTGCATGCAATAGAAAAAGACAAATACACAGCTAACCCCTTATAAGTCCAAACAAGTCTAGTAAAAGGGGCGTTCGCGATCTTGGCATTGACTTTGACTACGCCCCGGACGTTTAGATTCATCATGATCCCATGCCAGAGTTGGAATGATCAAAAGGCCCAAACGCTCAAAAACCCCACAGCTTTTGGACAACCTTGTAAGCTCAGCTGCCCAAAGGACGCCAAAGTAATAGCTTGTTTGGCCATAACTAGAAATGAACCAAAGAACTAAAACCAAAGGATCAAGTAAGTCAACCTGCCGAGCCGCATCTTGCTCATCTCGGCCACCGCTGCATCAAGGGCATCCGCGAGTGCCGGGTCCACGTTCTGCTTGCACTTGACAGCGGCGAGCATGACCTCAGCCCTGGACCCCCACTGTCCCTTTCGGACCTTGCTAATCTTCCCCAAGTGGGTCTGTCTTTTCGGAGGGCCGCGTTTTTTTTGTGGGCCTTAAAATGGAAACCGAGAGGAAAACCGCACTTTTTTCGCAGGGCCCCCAAAAAAAAGACACACCCACATGGTGGCCAAAAGGGCAATCCTTGAGGTCACAGCGGCAAACGCAAGGCCCGTTCTTTGAGGCTTTCCGGACTTGGGAGGCCCTTTATCTCAACTTTCTCACTGGCTTTCAGGACTTCTAGAGATCCCCAGTCAAAAAAGATCGCCTGGTGGTGCGACTGCAGCGCGGCCACGTAGTCCGCCTGTCGGACCCTCTGAGTATCTGGGAATTGACGACCCTTCCTCCCACGCACGCAGCATCTGTGGGGAGGTACCGGTACCTGGAAGATTCATTTGGCTGTGGCTCAACAAACCGATACCAAAATGGAACCCTGGTAGACCAAAACCTGCGTAACCCCTCCTGTTTCATTTTAAGCCACACCCATTTCCTCTTCTTCAGCGACCTCCTGTCAGCTGGCAACGTGGGTGGCAATCAACTAACCTTTCAGAACCTTGACTCAGCCAAACCTGGAAAGCCGAAGGCCCAAAACCGTGCGTGGTGCTTCAGCGTTTGGTCCAAGAAATCAATAGATGCCTTCAAGGGTTGAAAGCAACGCTAGTGGGGCTGTTGCCTTACAAAGCAAACGCAAAAAGAAACACACACAAGCGTGTCCAATGCAAAGATTCACACCAGCGCGTCCTGGCAACCCCCCAAAAAAAATAAGCCCAGGCGGCATTCCCAGCAACAACCCCTGCAACCCTTCTAGAAGCCGAAAACGCCCGGGGCCGCTCTGAACCACTTTTTGGGCCTCGTTGGGTCTATCGACCCGGAAGCTTTCAGCTAGCTTTATAGGGAAAAACATGTATGGCACGAATAGTGTAAACCGCCTCCCCGCGCTCAAGTCGGGAGGGCCTCGCTGGAGAATGGCGTCTTCGGGTCGCTCACAGGCTTCACACGCTGGCACAAGCAGTACTCCGACCTGAGGTTGGTTTCCCTTCAAAACCAACCAAAAAGGGTTACCCTCAAAAACAACAATACACATTTTTTGTGGGGACGCCACCAAACAGAAATTGGATTTTGAGGGTGGCCACCGATCAACTGACATGGCGCCATGAGAGGCCACCTCAAATACAAATACCTCAGTTTAAACACGTGGGTGTGTGGTTGCTTGAGGCTGTGTAGCCTGCGGGGGGAAGGGGGGCTGAGAGGGGCTGGTATCCCTGGATAAGCCTAGGATACGCCTAGGATAAGCCAAGGATAAGCCCTCAAAAAGGCTTTTTGAGGGGTTAACAAGGGATAGCCCTCCCCAGTTCCCCTCCACAAATCCATGATGCAATCGACGACTCAGACAGGAAGCATGAGCGTGATGATCTTGCCGGCATGCTCCTCCTGACCAGGGTCAATTGCCGTTTTGTACGGGTTCGTCACTGCCGTTTTCCGGGTTGTTGAATTTCACTACCTGCGCATGGTTTTTGGGACTAAAAAACCGGTTTCGAAGGCTCTAACAAAACAGTTTTGGAGACAAACGCTTCTTCTTTTTTGGTGTTTCAAGGCAACGGCCTCCAGTCAGAAGCCCAGGCTGCTGAATGGGCCCCCTGCGAAGGGAGAACAACCAGCCGACCTGCGACTATGATTAATCTATCTGATCAGGAAGGATCCAAAACCCAGAGAAGCATGACGAGATGGAAATTTGCGTGCGCAGCTAGGAGGATTCAGTTCACAGCGCTTTCACCCTGCAGTCCTTAGTGTTGATCCAGCGCGTCATCTGGTTGATGTTGAGAGGCGTCATGCTTGCCTCGGCATCTGGCATTTGCAGCCATTTCAAAGCCTCAAACCAGATGGTTGCACTAGTCCTTGCCCGAGGCAGAACCAAGGGAGTCGCTGCAAGGTGGCATCGCTAGGGTGGCTTCTAAGAGGCAATGCCTCCCTATAGAGAGCTCTTAGTGGCAAGACCCCTTCTGCGAAGCCGCAGAAGAAAGACCATGCAACATCTTCTGAGCGGGAGGCCAGCTTCTTCGAAGGGGATGGGCCTCAGAGCCTCTTACCGGCGGCTCCACTGCGCTGTGATTCATCAACGCGAACTTGCCACAAGGTCACGGCATTTCCGTTTGGAGAAGTCTTGGACAGGAATCAACTGGGATTTACGCGTTCACTGAAACTGCCGGGCCGCAAAACAAAGATGTCGAGTTGCCGCGTACCATTTCTTGTACGCAATGGCTTGATTCCGAATATTTCCCCCATGCGGCTCTGAATGGCTCGCTTTTGGTTCCCACCTGGGTGAAAGGGGGTGCCCCAATTTTCGCCGAGACGCCGAAAGCTCGCCGATCTGAAGCATGGCCTGACGCGCACGATGCACCGCGTACCTTTACACGGCACAATTATGCTCAGCCCAAAGGACCTGGAAATAAAAGATTAAGCTTTTGGGGCCAATTATGCTCAGTTTTGGGTGCGGTTTAATGGAATATGATCAAGGAAAACCAGGAAAATGGTTGGGAAACGCTGTAGGACAAGCCCATGTATCCTGTAAAGGGCCCTGACCAGACTTTTGTACATCAGTCCGGTTCAGCTGAGTTCGGCCTTCTTGATCGTGGCCACCGCCTCCTTCACGTCTGCCACCAGCTTGGGGTCGTCAAAAATGCCTTGGACTCAGAGACTCGGAGTTCAGGGTGGGACGCACATGCCCGGATTCACTTTGACTTTTGTATTAGCTCAGTTATATGTGAAACTTCTCCTCTAATTGGTCCCAATGACTGTCCCTTCACTTTTGGGGAAACACAGCCCCTACAAATCCACCAGCTTCATTTATCCGGGTCAACAGTACGAGCAGAACGCGGCACTGGCTGATCAATTACAAGGCCTGATTTGCCTCGTCGAATGAGCAGAACCTGCTTTCAAGGTCGCTTGCCGTGAATTGCAAGATATGCGGAAACGCACTACAGAAAACTTGACTAAAATG